AGGATGTCAACCGATTTCAGTGAACAGCCAAGAGCGGTTCTATTTTACTTTATGCGTATATTCAATGTGGGATGACAAGAGTGCTTTGTTAAGTGATTCGCGCATGATCAGTTTGCCCCATTTATCTCTGAACATATTTGTACGGCAATTACTCCAAGAATTTTAACGGATTTGAGTTTCAAATTAGTGTTGGAGTTTTTTAAGCCTTTTAAAACACTCGAGATCGTGTTTTATCAGGTATAAAGATTCGAGCCGAAGATAAAACACTCTCTCTCGTGTTTTAAACTATACTTGTTAGAACGGCCTTTAAACCCTTTGGTGCTACCTTTAGAATTGCTCATTATATATTCAGAACAAAACAGCCAGTCAAAAAGCGAAGTTCTTGGTATTTTTGAAAGTTTATTTTGGCTTTTAAAGTTTACTTTTAGTAGAAATATATCCCAAAAATGAAAAGCAGAATCACCTTTCGCTTCAATATTTAGCCGACGATGAAGCCAATGATAGAAAACAGGTGTAGTCTTGGGGATACATGGGGAAATCTMGAGAAAACCAACACGGTTTGTCAACTTTTTGTTGAGAAGCCGAGACAACATTCACTGGACAGCAAAAGCATTTCTTCACTTCACTTCAAATGCAAGATTCGCTCTAAGAACACGGCTCTTCTCAAGTCGGCCTGCATCTCAGTAATCGCGCTCGGGGAATGGCGGGAAAATCTAAAAATAGTACCAAGAGGGGTAAATGCCGTTCCCAAACCCCATTCGTAGAGGAAGGCTCCTAGTAATTGGCTCCTGGGTTTAAGATACCAATTTTATCTCCGAGTGTTGAAAATTGACATTATTAGTAATATATACAATATGAGCGGCCGATCTATATTGGCAAATACAATGGCGAGCCGAATACATACAGAATACTAATAGATCCATCAGTATTCTGTATTTTTTCTAATACTAATAGATCTCATTCTCTATTGTTATTATTCATCAACCCCACCCTTTCCCTGCTCTGAGTTCAAGCCCTCCCCGCGCTTTAAAAGTTTGGCTGTGTAACTTATGAATTGTTAATGAATATTATAATTATAATTATTATTATTGACATTTAACGCGGGTACAATAATTTTATTATCCTTGGCTAGTTAAATATTCCATTTTATGTCATGTCTGTCATTGAAGCATTGACACCTGGGCCAATGACTATTGACCTACTGTACTAAGGCTWACCCTGGGTCCCAAAATCCGCGAAAACTGAAACCGATTTTTTCCAAAGATCAGGAAAACCACCATGGAAAAATGAAATGTATTTTTTTTTGCCTCCATTGAAGTTTTTAAAAAGACTTATTTCGAAGTAGGAGCCATCCTAATTATTGATATATTTATACATGTTGGTAACCAAACTTCTTTCATGGCATAATGTGCTCTAATTAGTAGACCACGAGATCGAGTCGACTGCGGGTTGAGACTGTACTCCTAAAATGGACTATCAAGTAGAAGTTCACGACACCGAATGGTGTTAGGCACATATCGACCGTCATATACGATTCGTATACGTCACGTGTGGACACAGATGAAAAAAATTCTCTAGTCTTGTAGACGGGGCCTTTATTTTCAGAGACTAACGAAAAGTTTTGAAAAACAATTCATGGCAATTTTTTGTGTCGTAATACCACAGGTAATCCGCATTTCACTAAGAGCGTGGACCGATAAATAAAAGCGTGCGAAACTCGTTCTTTTCTTCTATTGAGCAACAGTTGGGTAGCCTATGGTGAGATGCATAAGAACATCTCTCACGGGCATGTTGATGATCAAATGATGCATGGTTTTGCGAGTATAATGACGAAGACATTCATTTTAACATTCCCAGTTCAACAATCAATACGTAGGCAAAGATTTTGCTTATTTCCACTAGATTAGTGTGTGGTTCATGCAGTATCTCGGTTCTCTTTACTTTTTATTTTTTGAATTTTGAATTTTCAGCCTCATTTCTATCGGTCTTAATATTTACAATCGATCTCAAGACATAGAAAATTTAATTCTTGTTCAGAATGTCCCCTTCTCTGGTTATCTTGTATGTGCTCGGTTGTACTGTTTGCAACCCAATCGATTTTTTTTTTACATTTTGAATCTTCGACTACAGTTCTATCGCTTTTTGTTTGATTCTAGTGATCTCCACCCAACCCAGAGGACCCCAGAGCTGCAAGGTAGTAGATTTCCCATAATTAGGAAAAAGCACGTTATAGTCCGTGAATGCCAAGGAAATACAGAAAGGAAAATTATGTGATGCTAGAAAAGGCAAGAAAAAATGAAATTAAAAACAAAATAAGGGAAAGAAGAGAACAAGACATACTGGAATTGAAAAGAAATTGTTAGTCTAGTATGTATATTAATTGCACTGCCCTCGGTTTATTATGAATTATTCCATGGAGTTCCAAGGCTTCTGTTATTACTGCCATCCTTTGTAAATGAGTTAATATTTTGCGCAACTATAATGCCCAATGGGCTATAATGATTCAGTTATTTCTCTCACTTGGTTAACTATTCCATCAGGGGAGAAGTCATCTCTAAGACTGTCATTATTTTGATGGGCATATGCTTACAGGTGTGTATTAATCATTCTGTTTTCGACATAATGATCAAAATAGAAAGAAAAACCTTCTTTAGGAAATCTTAAGGGCTGAAGTAAATTTATCTTCAACTTGTTTTTAACTCTATATTATACTGGATACCAAAACGGCGTTAGCTTAGACCCAAAATAAAAAAATCCACAAGTCCTGACTTGCATTTGATCCTCTTTTTACTCCAGAGAATTATTTAGCAATCGCAAGTTTAGAATTGTCATATAACAATATGATGCCTTCCGCCGGTCTTAAAATACACTTGTATCCAGTATTTATGTTTTCTGAAATTCAATCTGAAAAAGTCATTGCCGGTATTTAAAATAGGTGCACACAAGTGTGTGTGTTAATCATTCCGTTGACGAACTAGAAATAAAAATAAACTGAAGAAATAAAACATCTTTTGCAGAAATGAAAAAAACCCTGAGACTAGATTAAAACAAAAGAAGGACAAACACAGAGAACGTTAGGTGAAAAAAAATGAATAAAAAATAAACTGAAGGAAGGGAACAAAATTTATTGAATGATTCAATATTTAACTTTAATGATAGCTATTACTACATTTATATCTTTTAAAAAGACAACGTTTTTTACTAGAATTTATTATATATGATGTTTCAAACTAAAATTGACCTCGTCATGTGTCCTCTTATTTATCACGGTTGGTGGCATCTCAACGTCAAAATTGTTGTTTATCCACTTGATTTCGTCTCAGAATTTCTTACTCTGTTAGACCTTAACGTAAAGGGCTTGATACGACGTGATTGCAGCTCAGTTGAGTTTTGGCTGTTTGGTTCTTGATTCTGTATTTCTCTTCGGCACAGTACATGCTTTGTAGCTTGTCGAAAGTCAGGAAGAAATATTATGTATATAA